ATCCCAGCACTTGGGAGGCAGAGAGAGGCAGGTGGATCTCTGTGAGTTCCAGGCCAGCCTGGTCCATAAGAGCTAGTTCCAGGACAGCCTCCAAAGCCACAAAGAAACCCTGTCTCAAAACAAAACAAAACAAAAAAAGCATTGAGAAGCTAGGTGAGATGGCCTATGCCTACTTGAGGCTGAAACAGAATCTTATGTGATGGGTGTGGTTCAGATTTTCAGGAAAAGGTGAAGTTACATTTTTCTTAGAAAAGATTGGTAATTAACCCATGTTTCACTATTTCACTTAGTGCGGCAGAGTTGTGACACACCCCCTACCTCCACCCCCATAGTGCACATCTTTAATCCCAACACTGGAGGGTCAAGTGGATTTCAGATTGAGGCCCGCCTACATGGTGACAACATGTCTTAAAAAAAAAAGAAAAAGCATTGTGTGTACTGGTAGAAGTTGGTCTGGATGGAGAAGGGAGCACCAATTTATTCTGTCCACAACTCTTATTTTACTCAAGGAGTGTTTGACTCTGAAATGTGTCTTTTAACTGAGCTTTTCTGCCTGTTTTTTGGTTTTTCGAGACAGGGTTTCTCTGTGGCTTTTGGAGGCTGTCCTGAACTAGCTCTTATGGACCAGGCTAGTCTCGAACTCACAGAGATCCACCTGCCTCTTCCCCCAGAGTGCTGGGATTAAAGGCGTGCACCACCAACGCCCGGCTAAAACTGTGACAGAGAAGCCAGGCTGTGGTGGAGATAGCTTTTTATTTATTTTTCATTTATTTATTTTTATTTATTTATTATATATACAGTCTTCTGCTTGCATGCCAGCAGAGGATACCAGATCTCAACTCAAGACCTCTGTTTTGGTGGGGTTTTTTTGTTTGTTTGTTTTGTTTTGTTTGTTTGTTTGTTTTTTGGAGACAGGGTTTCTCTGTGTCTTTGGAGGCTGTCCTGGAACTAGCTCTTGTAGACCAGGCTGGACTCTAATTCACAGAGGTCCTCCTGCCTCTGCCTCCCGAGTGCTGAGATTAAAGGCGTGCCTGGTTCTTAAGCAAGACTATGAAATGATAGTTTCTCAGCTACTTGCTTTTGAGTTCTGGGTATTTAAAAAAGTAAATGGAGTCTTTAGCCTTTTTATGACTTCTGAATCCCTGTATCTTTCTTTGTGTTATCTTAGACTGCATCACTGTTTAAACATTAGTTAGGTTAGACCATCTGTGCAGTTAAGTAAGGAGCAGTGCTGGGAGGCTGAGCCTCATGAGCAGCATTGTTCAAACCACCATCTTAAATGACAGGGTTGTCACTGTAGACAAGTAATGGTTGTGTGTGATCTTCTAAGGAGTTGTACTCTGTATTTCATTATAGATGTTCATTTTGGACAAAGTCGAAGGTGATACTTGTTCCCTTAATGAGTTTACTATAACTGGATCAACATATGCACCCATTGGAGAAGTGTGAGTAACCTCCTTTCTCTGCAGACTCTACTGTGTCATCATAGTGATTGGTTCTTTAGATCCATCACAAGGGACGGAGCTAGGAAAATCTTGATGCTGGCAGATGTGTGACTTAGTGGTGGATCTAAGGTATGCCTGGCATTCCTGAAGCCTCGCTTTGATCCTCGGCACCACTGAATAAACAGAGTGTGGTGATGGATGCTGTGGCAGGTCAGGAGATGACAACCAGCCTGGGCTGCATGAAAACCTGTCCCAAAACCACACACATACACACAAAAGGAACTATATAGCTAAGATAGCTGACTGTGGTTCAAATTAGTGATTTCTTATTAGCAGAACACCTTTTTGAAGCCCAGATCTGATGAGGGCTCTATTTTGTTCTTCACTTACCCCTGGAGGAGTTTCAGTAAGAATTTCTGGTTATTCAAATTCTTTTGAATGTGTCCCAATCTGTTCTCCCAAAACTTATATTTTCATCATTGGGAGGCTGTGTCAGTGTTGTTGCGTGCCTGTAATCCCAGCAATTGTGGGTCTAGCCAGGAAGAACAAGTGCAGGGTCATCCTGGAACATGAAGTGAGATCTTGTTACAAACAGATGGGACGCTGAGTATAAAAGCACTTTCCCTGTAGGTGTGACAGTGGGGTTCCATCTCAGGAACCCACATGATGGAAGGGGAAATCCTTCCACTATTTGTCCTCTGATCCGTCTCTACACAAACATGCTCCATTGTTACACACAGCCACAGCCCATCACACAACTTTTTATCTTAAGTTGAGGCAAGCTGTGATTCAGAAATGTTCTCTCTTTTTTGATAGGCATAAAGATGATAAGCCAGTGAAGTGCCATCAGTATGACGGGCTTGTAGAGTTAGCAACGATCTGTGCTCTGTGTAATGACTCTGCTTTGGATTATAATGAGGTAAGATTCCCAATGGGAAAGAGGCCTGCCCCTGACTCAAGGTTAGGGTGGGTAGAATAAAAAGGCCATCTTCCTCCCTTTGAAAAACAAGTTTCTGGGCTGGATGTTAGTGGTGCACGTCTTGAATCCCAGCTGAGGCAGGCGGATCTCTATGAGTTCGAGACCGGCCTGGTCTACAAGGGCAAGTTCCAGGATAGCCTCCAAAGCCACAGAGAAACCCTGTCTTGAAAAAACAAACAAAAAAACCAAGTTCCTATTTACTTCCCATTTCTCTTCAGTGTGGCCTGGCTGAAGAAAGCTCAGTGTCTTTCATAGGTCTGAGGCTGGGCACTGTAATGTTTTACTAGGATAATAGGATTGTAATATTCTGACCACTGATGGCATCCTTACTTTAAAGGACCAAAATTCAGACTAGAAGTCTTTGGACAGTGGGAGTGATGATTGTACTCTTAAACATGGATTGTCACATACTCTTGAGGACAGCATGAAGCTTGTGGTGTTGTTTTGGTGGTAGTAGTGGTGGGTAAAGAGTTGTAGCCAAGAGAAAACATTTTTAAAATTAAGTAGTGGGGTTAATCATTTGCTTTCTTTCTCAAAGGCTAGGCCTTCCCTGTCAGAGAGTGCTAACTCATCAGAATAATAAACAGTGACCTGAAATGAACAAAAAACTTCAAATGAGAAAACACATTAATAAATGCATGGTAGTGTCTCATGATTATACCTTGAGTGGAACAGGCTGTCCTACTAACAATGACTTCTTTCAACAATGCAGGCAAAGGGTGTGTATGAAAAAGTTGGAGAAGCCACAGAGACTGCTCTCACTTGCCTGGTGGAGAAGATGAATGTATTTGATACCGAACTGAAGGGACTGTCTAAAATAGAGCGTGCAAATGCCTGCAACTCGGTCAGTATTTGACCTTGGTGTGCTGTGTCTCCTAGCCTTAACCATATACATTCACTGTCCTTTCCTGCCTCCTTGACCTCTGCACTTCTGCTTATGCCTTTGCTCTTTAGGTAACGTGCTCTTTGAAGCCTAGTGTAATCCTAGCACTCAGGAGGCTAAGTCCAGGAGGATTGCCACAGGTTGTAGAGTTAGACTCTCATTAGACAAACAAAGCTAAATCACAACAATAACAACAACAACAACAACAAAAAAAAAAACCACAGCAATCCTTAGTAATTTGTCACAGGTATGTCAAAAGGACTACCTTCTCCAAGGAAGCTATGAGCTTGGTCCTAGCAAAATCCAGCTCGTCCTGCCTGTATATTTCAGTTCCTGTCTCTGCTAGCTCTTCATCAGCAGCATAGAGAAAATAACTGTATGTTTTTTAAACTTAGAACTATCCTTTACCCTAATTTTCATTTGCCACCCATTTGTTTAACTCAATGAAAAGATCTGTTGTATTAATCCCTTTTAACTCCTGTTTTCTCAAATCCATTCCAATCAAGTTCTTGCCTCTACCTGTCCATCAGAACCTCTTTTGAGTCACTTTCACCTTGTGCTAAATCCAGTGATTATATTGTTTGTATTTGTTAATTGTAACAAGATAGGCAAGTCAGCAGTTACAGATGGAGATCTGTAGAGGGAGGGAGCTAGCACTGGCCATTTCTGTAGAGGGCCTAGCAACACACGGCAGCTAAGAACTGTTTTGTACCTCCTGTTCCAGAGGATCAGAGGCCCAAACTCGAGACAAGTTTCCGCCTCTCTGCTGGGATTAAAGGTGTGTGCCACCACCACCAGCCTACCGGCCTGCCATCCTCTCTATCTTCATTTCTTTTTCTGGGGATGGGGGACATTTTTCCATTTTCAAATTTATATAGATCATCCAAAAAGATCTATCCTGAACTCAAAAGACATTTAGTGAACCTCACTGGCAGAAGAGTGTGAATGCAAAGTTTTGGGGAGCCAACTCTGGACCCACACCCAATGCCATTGGCCTGATCCACTGACACTGTGAAATGGTACTATCTCTCCTTTTAGGAAATTCTTTGTTTTCAAAGGAGTTATCGCTGTGCAGCTGAGGCAGTCCTTGAACTTGATATCCTCCTGCCTTGACTTGCCAGTTGCTAAGATTATAGCCATGCAGCACCATACTAGCCCTTCAGACAGTTCTTGATAGCTAGCCAATGTCTAAAGCCCTCCAGTGTCTTCCTGCACAGTTTTTTCTCCGTGGCTTTCAGTGTATCTTAGTTTTACATTCTGATCTACTCCTAAAGTAGAGGACACTTTTAGAGGGTATGGACTTGCTGTCTTGTTCACTGTTGTTTGCTGCCACGCTTCCAAAAGACCAACATGGTGAAGATATTTGAACAGGGCTAGGGTGTGTCATATAAGGAGTATCTGAACACATGTAAAATGTGTAGAAACGGTAATCTAGGAGTGCTCCATCTCTGATCTCCTATAGGTCATAAAACAGCTGATGAAGAAGGAATTTACTCTAGAGTTTTCACGTGATAGAAAATCGATGTCTGTCTATTGTACACCAAACAAACCGAGCCGGACATCCATGAGCAAGATGTTTGTGAAGGCAAGTACTACACAGACAGAGGCTTTCTCATCAGGTAACTAGACAGATAGCAGTTACTTACCTGAATCTCATGTTCTCAGGGTGCTCCCGAAGGTGTCATCGACAGGTGTACCCACATCCGAGTTGGAAGTACCAAGGTCCCCATGACTCCTGGTGTCAAACAGAAGATTATGTCTGTCATTCGTGAGTGGGGCAGTGGCAGTGATACACTGCGGTGCCTGGCTCTGGCCACTCATGACAACCCACTGAGGAGAGAGGAGATGCACCTGGAAGATTCAGCCAACTTCATCAAGTATGAGGTACCCTCACCAGCCTGTGCTGCATCCAGAGGATAGGCAGGTGTCCTACGCAGGCCATCTTTAGGTTGTTGCTTCAGACAGAAATAGGACTTAATGAATCTGCTTTCAAAGTAGAATAATCAAGATAAGTTCAGACAAGCCTGTAAAGCTTAATATCCATTAAAAACTTAGTTTGCATTAAAAATGTTTATTAGGTGTTGATAAAATATACAAGCTAAGAGATTCGTTTCTACTTCCTTCATAGACCATCGTTTTCATGTCAGGGTTGTAACAGCCTAAACAGAAGGAGCTTCGCTGTAGCACCAACACTGCCAGTGACCAAGTGCTCTTTCTTACTCTTCAACACATTATTTTGGGTTTTTTTCCCCTGGATAAATTTCTTACAGAATGTGAGAATTTGGAATAATTTGGTGACAAGGGTATGTTTTCTTTAAAATAATGGAGTGAGGGTGTGACTCAGGGTTAGAACACTGCTGAGTATAAGCAAAACCCTGTGTTCTGTCCCCTCTTCATCAGGCTGAGGCAGGAAGACTGCTTGCTACAAGTGTCTGTAGGACTAGATAGAGTGAGACCTTGTTTCAATCAAGGGCAAGCAGGAAGAACTTACAGCAAGAGTGGCCAGGACTTAATGATGGTGATAAGCTGTTTGAACTCACAGTGACTCTCTTACTTTAGACCAATCTGACTTTTGTTGGCTGTGTGGGCATGCTGGACCCTCCCAGGATCGAAGTGGCCTCTTCTGTGAAGCTGTGCCGGCAAGCAGGCATCCGTGTCATCATGATCACTGGAGACAACAAGGGCACTGCTGTGGCCATCTGTCGCCGAATTGGTATTTTTGGGCAGGATGAGGATGTGACATCAAAGGCTTTTACAGGGCGGGAGTTTGATGAGCTCAGCCCCTCAGCCCAGAGAGATGCCTGCTTGAATGCCCGATGTTTTGCTCGAGTTGAACCTTCCCACAAGTCTAAGATCGTTGAGTTTCTTCAGTCCTTTGATGAGATCACAGCTATGGTAAGGTTTTAGACATGAGCACAAACAGCAAGCACATCCATCTAGTGACATGGTGCTTGCCTGTAATCCTGGCACTTAGGAGGCTGAAAGCAACCCTGGGCTACCTATTGATATCCTCTTTCTAAAAATGAAAAGTGGGGTGTTTTTAGTTTGTTTTTAATCTGTAAACAATATTTAGTATTCAGGTATGTGTCTGAGGTGTGTAAATGACCTTAAATTATGTGGCCATACCACAAATGTCTCTTGGGTTTTGAGTGTTGGTGTAAGACAATCCAAGCAGATGTGCAGTCCCTTGGTTCTGCCTCGGCATCTCTGGTGAGCTTACTGGGCTGCTTTCATACGTTCCTAGCAAAGGGTTTCAACACCAGTTACTGCTCTATCCCATTTCCTTCTGCTGCTGTCAGTCTGCCTCTGCCCAGAGGTCTACTATGTGTTGATGTCTGAATCCGCTATGGCTTCCCTTTCAGACTGGTGATGGTGTGAATGATGCTCCTGCTCTGAAGAAAGCGGAAATTGGCATTGCCATGGGTTCAGGTACTGCAGTGGCCAAGACTGCCTCTGAGATGGTCCTAGCAGATGACAACTTTTCCACCATTGTGGCTGCTGTTGAGGAGGGTCGAGCCATCTACAACAACATGAAGCAGTTCATCCGATACCTCATCTCTTCCAACGTCGGGGAAGTGGTCTGGTGGGTGTCTTTGGGGGCTGGGGCTGGGGCTGGGGTATTGGGCTGTCTCAGTCTGCTGCTTCTGTTGTGGTAGCTTTGGTTGTTAGCCTGAGTGGAGAAAAGTCTGTGGTGCTTGTCTGTAGCTGCCCAGTGTGCGGAGAACACTTCTTAAGACAGGACTAAGCCGGGGTGGTGTTGCACGTCTTAATACCAGCACTCGGGAGGCAGAGGCAGGCAGATCTCTGTGAGTTCTAGGCCAGTCTGGTCTACAGAGCCTCCAAAGCAATACAGAGAAACCCTGTCTCCGAAACAAAAAAAGACAGGGATTAATCTGGGCATAGTTGCACACGCCTTAATCCCAGCACTCCAGAGACAGAGACAAGAGAATCAGAGTTTGAGGCCAACCTAGACTACACAGAAAAAAAACCCTGTCTTGAAAAACCTAAAAAACACAGGAATTGGTTTACCTCAGTAGTTTAAACTCAGGAAAGTCTTGGCCCTCTAAGTTTCATGTCAATGTTGGTGGAATATATACATTGTTTGGTGCTTTTGGCTTGGGGAGAGAAGAGGTTTCTATAGTTCTCCAACTCTCACTGTGTTCCTTCTCTTCTCCCCTTGGATGGAAACAGTATTTTTCTGACGGCGGCCCTTGGGTTTCCTGAGGCTTTGATTCCTGTCCAGCTCCTCTGGGTCAATCTGGTGACAGATGGTCTGCCTGCCACTGCACTAGGGTTCAACCCTCCCGACCTAGACATCATGAACAAACCACCCCGGAACCCAAAAGAACCCTTGATCAGCGGGTGGCTGTTTTTCCGTTACCTGGCTATTGGCTGTGAGTACAGTTGTTTGTTGTTTCTGTTGGGAGGGTACCCCTGTCAGTGCAGGCTTCCTCAGAGCCTCCATGAAGTCCTTGTTGAACATCAAGACAGGCCAAGGTCATTCCCTCTTCAGAGCTTCAGGCTGAGATATAAATGGGTAATTACTACCAAGGGGACAAGTAGAGTCCCGCCAGTGAAGGCTAGTTCTGTATTCTGTCACAGTTAGGGAATCGATGCCCAGAGAAGTGAAACCATGTTTCCGGGACCCGTAGGAACGCATTTTGTTTGCATAATTCATACACTGCTTTAAATTCAAAGTGGTCTAGAGAAGCTTGCCAGTCCTCTGGTCTCGTGAATCAGGTGCTCTTTAGAGATCAAATAGATTTTGGCTTTTGCAAAAACCTTCTCCTCCCTATCTGTGATGCAACAGGAGTTCCCTATCTGTTGTCTTTTAACCAGTGCCCTGAGCACCGTTATAATTTCCAGGTTAGCCAGTGTGTGCTTTGCAGTTAGGAGACTGCAACACAGGGTGGACCATTCTCACCTTTATAATAGACTTCCTGAATTATAGTTGATGAGGAATGACCTCTGCCCTAAACCCAGCAGTTTCTTTGAAGGGTTCTGCTAGGCCATAAATGAAACAAAGCAGCTACATAGTGTTCAACAAGGTCACATCAATTTATCTATAAATAGTGGTTTTACTTGGTCCTCTCACACTGTGTGATTTGCCTGGTGGAGAGTACCTGTACACCTGTGGTCTTGAAGCGAGCCTGTGCTTGCTCTTTAGCTCTGGCACATTGTGTAGAGACTGGGTTGGATTCAGCTCCAGAGATGGCTGATTGCTTAAATCAGAAACACCTTGTCTGTGGTCAGCTGCTCTGACCTGGGTGTTAGCCTGCAGTGTGTATAGTGCTGTCCACAGCCCCCAAGTGTAAACGTCATGTTTATTTCCAGGTTACGTTGGCGCTGCTACTGTGGGTGCTGCTGCATGGTGGTTCATCGCTGCTGACGGTGGTCCAAGAGTGTCCTTCTACCAGCTGGTATTTAATCGATTTTCTTCCTTCCTTTTTTTTCTTTTCTGTTTAGTAGAGTGAATTCTTGTAAGCTCTTGGCCTCTCTGTGGTATAGGATCGTTTTAGGGCATAAACAGGTAAACAGTTGCCTCAGGCGGCTCTGAGCCCCAAGGCTTAGCCAAGATGTCTCATGTTGGTGCTGGGGTATGGAATTGGGTGTCTGGGCTAGGGAACTACCTGGGATAATGGAATGTTTCTGGTCTTCCATTGCAGAGTCACTTCCTACAGTGTAAAGAGGACAACCCAGACTTCGAAGGAGTGGACTGTGCAATCTTTGAGTCCCCGTACCCAATGACAATGGCGCTTTCTGTTCTAGTAACCATAGAGATGTGTAATGCCCTCAACAGGTTAGTGAGTCTTGTGGGCTGAGAATTTATTATGGGGTTCATGGCTGGTAAAGCTTTTCCCTTCAGAAAAGGACAGTTTTAAAGCTCTTGCCTCAGGAACCAGTGGGGGCTCTCGCCACCATGTGCTCCAGATATGGCGGGGTCTAATAGTGCTACTGGTGGTCCCAGCTATGCCTTGCACCCCAGGGAACACAAAAGGTCAACTAAGCCACTGCAAAAGCTTCTGGCCATTACAAGCAACTTTGAGCCTATCAAGATGGACCTGTTGTGCTGAAGCCTGTGGTTGACCTCACTGGAAAATCCAGGCCTTAGGTCACCATGAGCCCCCTTCTGTGTCATCCGGTGAAGTCACCTCTCTTGTCACCCTCAGCTTGTCTGAAAACCAGTCCTTGCTGAGGATGCCCCCTTGGGAGAATATCTGGCTCGTGGGCTCCATCTGCTTGTCCATGTCACTTCACTTCCTGATTCTCTACGTGGAACCTTTGCCAGTAAGTCATATGGACCCCAGGCTGGGTCTGGTATGGTCCCTCTCTGGCATGTCCAAAAGCTTGACGGTGGCCTTGTGTGTCTCAGCTCATCTTCCAGATCACACCGTTGAATCTGACCCAGTGGCTGATGGTGCTGAAAATCTCCTTGCCTGTGATCCTCATGGATGAGACGCTTAAGTTTGTGGCCCGAAACTACCTGGAACCCGGTAAAGAGTGTGTGCAGCCTGCCACCAAATCCTGCTCGCTGTCGGCATGCACCGATGGCATTTCCTGGCCGTTTGTGCTGCTCATTATGCCCCTGGTGGTCTGGGTCTACAGCACAGACACTAACTTTAGCGATATGTTCTGGTCTTGACTGACAGCGCTACATACAGAAGATGTTTTAACTTAATCGATTAATTTTTTATTGTTTAAAGCAACTGTCTATTTCTGCTGAATTTTCACATGAACATATTGGCTGGTGAAGGAGGTTTCATATTCTAGATTTTGTTTTGCTTTTTCTGACTCCAGTGGGACAAGATTTTCCTTTTTTTTATACACATAATTAAAGTGTCCATTGACATGTACAGAGAACTAACACTATTTTATGCAGATATTTTTTTGTAGATGAAAAAGCATGTACAGTGTTCTGTTTAATACTCATACTTGTACAAAGATAGTTGAGCCAGCAGACATTGTCAGCAAATTAATTGGCAGCAGACTTTAGGAAATGAATGTGTGTGGTTTTTAAAAGAAAAAAAAACTAAATAGCATGTATTGTGTCTTTTGCATGATTCTCTGGATTTAATTTGATATCACAGTCTAATTTTTATTCATAAGCCAATTTTTCTGCACTGAGCAGAGTCCTGCTACCTCAGTCAGTATTTTTGGTTTGCCACTTCCTGCACCCTCAGCCTCTGTCACCCCCAGCCCACCCCAGCCCGCTCGGCTTCTTCTGTAGGTCTGATGGTTCTGTTTACATCCGTCTTCACTAGAGGTTGCCTGTTCTCGCTTGTGCAGAAAACATTGCTCCAGATTCAAATCGACTGGGTTTCTGTCCCTCGCCTAGTTTTAAGGTTATTTATTTAAATGTCTAATGTATTTTATTGTAACAGACATTGTTTTGCCAGCATTGCCTATTCATTGGCACTTCACAATCTAGTTTAAAAGAAAAAATAAAACATTTTAAATGGACAGAGAAAAATAACTGTCTTGTTCTTAATGGCCTACCTTGAACTATCTATAATCAGTTCAGATTTCTCTGAGGTCCTCAGCTTAGAGCCTTAGTTTCCTGTTCCTGAGGGGAGAATCCTGTTCTGCTGCATTGTAGGGTTTTGTTTAGGATGTATAGGCACGATCTGTCATGTGATACACATTTATGCAAGTTTCTGCTGGCCTGTTGTATGTAGCCTGGTATAAGGGCAAGTGTGTGTGTAGGTGTGTGTATGTTTTGTAAAATCTGTAAATAGCACATGACCAAATGAACATATTGTATAGAACTATTTTTATTTGAATATGGCACTAACCACCACCATCATGACTGATGAACGTTTGCGCATGTTCAAGGTCAGTCTTAACGGCAGTGTGAGTCATTAACAGTCCTAACTGTGGTGTTTTCCTCCAATGCCTTCCAACATCCATCAACTAACGTGAGTATCTTCCTGTGGGGTTGGGGTGCTGTGGCCTGTCTACAGGGATGCCACTGAATGAAATGGCCCCTGTGCAGCAGCCACTCCTAAGGGATGTCAGCTGCTCACTACACATAGACTTGAGCGTAGACACTGCCTGGGACAGTGATTCTTACGAGTTGTGGGGAAGAGGATCTTGTGACCTGTGTCACCTCTAGTGCCAAACAGACCTTATACAAAAATGTGCCAAGACTTTTGGATTTTCACTGGCTACAGAAAGCAGTAAATCTAGATACTGACCCTGTTTTTTGTCGCCTTCCTAGGGCATGTCTTAGCATCTAGGGCATGGCCATTATAACAATCTCCTGGTATACAAAAACCTAAGGGCTGCTGGTTCCCTTAGTTGCAGGGGTGAGCAGGCAGGCAGAAGTAAGTGCCAGGTTCTGAAGGAATGCAACTGACCCTTGAGTTCAAGGCCTCTGGGTGCTGTAGGAAGTTAACAATTCTCAGGAAACAGGCAGGTTTGCTATTTTTGGACGTTATGAGGGGGTCAGACCCACAGATCAAGGCCAACAGCATAGTCCCAGCCACAGGCCTCCCTCTGCAGGTACTCAGCCTTCCCTCACCCAACACCCTCAAGAAGGGACTGCAGTACATGGATGGGCAGTGTTGTCCTCAACCACTAGGGCAGTCTGGCCTGGAAGTCAGCTTTGAGGTTTTCCTGAGTCGTCTCTTCATTGCAGCTGTATCAAAGGTTCAGCGCTGCAGCCCACTCAGCAAAGTGCAGGTGATGCATTCCCCAGCAGCTAGGGCAGGTGCTGCCAGGGCTGGGGAAGGCCCGCCACCTCACAGCAACTGCTACCCTAGCATCTTTAAACTAGGGTCTCAGCCCAATAGTGTCACAACCCTCAGAACACCCAGAGCACAGCACCGGCTCAGCCTGCAGTGCCCATAAGCCAAGAGGCATGGTTGTGCCCATTGCAATGAGCCACCAAATCCATCAAGATCTTCCAAAGCAGAGCTGAGCCTGCAGCCCAGGACTGCTGCCATGGAGAACAGGGAGGGAGTAGGAAGGCCTTTCCTCCCCTGGTGCCATGCCATTCACTCTGCTTCACCTGCCTCACCCTCTGCATGGCTACAGAGATCTCCCATTCACACTGCCCCCATACCTGACATGCCTTCTAGTTTCTGCCTCATGGGGCTTTGTTAGGAGCCGGCAGTAGTAGGAGGCACAAGGCAGTCACCAAGCCACTGCTTCTAGATGTGACAGGGCAGCATTCCAGGGCACTTAGAATGCTGGTCTTGCATCTAGACTAAATGCAGTGTTCTTTCCGTCTGTCCCTGTTGGTGTGTCTTGGGAAGTTTTTCTAACATTGCTCTATATTTCAAGAAGCTGATTTCCTCTCTCTTTCCTTTTCAGCAATACTGGAGTAACCGCTTCCTAAACCATTTGCAGAAATGTCAGGGGTGTTCGGGTGCGTGCATGTGCGTTGTTAGCAACACATCTACCAGCCCTCTGCATGACTGATGTTGGGGAAAAGAAAAATAGAAACAGTTTCCAACTCACTGTGTGATGTGGAGGAAATGTGTATAGCAGTGGGGTTTTAGCTGTTCAATCAGAATAATAACAAATGTACAGTTTAGCGTAAAGAATCAGCCTCCAGAGAAGTTTGATTTCTTTGCTGCAAGAAGAATGAGGTTCTGAACCCTTATCCAAGAACAGAAGCCATCAGCCAAGTCTCCACATTTCTCTACAAATGTCATAGCCTTTATAGCTGTATGATAATTGTAATGCATGCCTTCAGTTGTAAGCAGCCAGATTGCTCTGCAGTGACATTGAAACATGCTTTCTAATTGGCCCTGTACAGTTTGCTTATTTATAAATTCATTTAAAAACACTACAGCTGTTGAATGGTTACAATGTAGGCCTAACTTGAGTTGTTTTGTGGGTGTGCAGCCAGCTGTTTCACACTGTATTAATGTAATTTATTTAATGAAGTCAGAAGCAGTAGACATGTTGGTGCAATACAAGTGTTGTGTGCATTTACTGTTTTAAAGAGCTCAGCGTCAGCTCCTCACAGCTTCTCACAGCGCATGTTTGACTGTAGACTGGAAATAGAGGTCAGTTTCTCTCTGTGCTGGTAACAGGTATTGCACAGACATGATTTCAGGTAAATAAATCTATTCTACGATAAACCCTGAGTGTAGCAGTGGCTGTTTTATAGGAGAATGGGGATGGGTGCTGAGGTCTCTATGAGACTAGTTTTGTACTCATCCAGGAGGGAAGCTAAGTGTGGGGGTCTTCATTGCTTAGGAGGAAGAGGAGATTCCACACATGACTAGCCTCGGAGTTGCCTGACTGCTCCGATGCAAAACAACTATGCTGTCACCTTCTGAGACAGATAAGTAGACCTGAATGGATCCAGAACCCGCCCCTGATTTGCCAGAGATGAGCCCATTCCCTAAAATGGCCATTATACTCATTCCAGAACGTCAAGCTAACAGAAAACTTAAATCCCGTCAACTCCTGAAAGTGAGAGAACCCCCTGACAACAGTTAACACCCAGGGACAGCAAGGTGGCTCAGCAGGTAAAGGCATTTGCCATATAAACCTGGAGTTGATTTCCAGAAGCCATGGTAAAAAGAACTGACTCCATCCACAAAACTAACCTCCACATGTGCACACATTCGGGATAATGAAACGCTTCAGAATAGCAAGATCACTGTCCCCACGAGTTCAAATGAGACTAAGGAGAAATTTCTCAGAATTAACAAGATGGGGTCTCAATGCAGACCAAGAGGGCCTGGAGCTCCACCTGCCTCCTGAGTGCTGGGAGGTGTGAGCACTACAGCCCGCCATCCTGTTCTTAGTAACGTTTAATAATAACGTTGAAGACAGTGGTTTTAATCTAATAGGTTTGTTCTAACGTGGGGGCAGATGGAGCGTGCTGAGCAGCTGGTGCACACAGGCCACTTGAGCTCAGTATGTGGTTGGCAGGAAGAGATACACTCCTGTACCCTTAGACCCAATCTAGTGTAAAGCTCAGACTGTGTACTCTGAGAGAGAAATGCCTTAGAAAGCATGCTAGCAAACTGCTCCCGTTGTCAGCTAGGAACTCTAGCTTCTGGGAAGGCAGTGCCCCTTGGAAAACAACTGGGTATCACCTTTCAGGACCCAGCAGGTCCACTCTAGGCCCCCAGGAAAGCCTCACAACTATGACACTTTGCAGGAGAGAAGTAAAATTGCCAAGTGCTCAGCAGTGGGAAGCTTGGGACAGACAAGTCAGAGTGAGTCAGAACTTGAGGTCAACCCAGACCCAATGCCCAAAACTAGGACGTCAGCAGCATGTGTTAAGCAAAGCCTCACCACCTTAAGGTTTTCTAAATACAGAGTGAAAACTTTGCCTTTCTTGGTGTGACATGGAACCCTAGGAAAGAGACAAAGTTTATACACTTCATCCTAGCCTAAAGGCATGCTGATTAGAATCTACAGTCAAGAAAACTGGTTTCTCATACACTGAACAGAGAACAGTCTATACTGGCATAAAAGGTCTGTACCACATCTGACCAATCTTTTGGGGGTTTTGCTTATCCCCGCACGCCACTGGGTTTTTTTGTTTTTGTTATTCAGTCTCATGATGTGACTCAGGTTGGCCTGGAACTCTATAGAGTCCAAGCTGGCCTCATCTCACAGGCTGCCCCTGCCTCCCAAGTGCCAGAACTACAGTGCACAGCCTCTCATCTAATTACCCCAGCCATAGTTTTTGTTGCTACTTCATAACTATTTTCTACTGTTACAAATTGCAGTGTTAAATATCTGGTGTGCAGGATGCTCTTAGGTGACCCCTGTGAAAGGGTCGTTTGACACCCCCAAAGGAGTTGCAGCTCACAGATTTGAGAACTGTCATCTAGACCATCCTTTGGAAAGACAAGGCCTGAGTGAGTCCACAAGAGCCCATGAATGAGGCATACTCTGCCTGAAAGACTCAGTGCAGAAGGCTGGCTGCACCATTCAGGAGCCATGTATGCTGCACAAGCTTCAGGCCAGCCTGGGCTACAAATGAAACCCTGCCTCTAAAAGACAAACCAAAGGGGAAAGAAAAAAACTAGACTGGCAAAATGGCTCAGCTGGTAGAGGTGACTACATCAGGCCTGACCTGAGTTTGGCCACCTTCCCTCATTGTAGGAGAGAACAGATTCCTGTCAGTTCTCGGATTTTCACACACATTATGCTTGTGTGTACACAATCACAATTGTTTTTTCTTTTTAAGAAGGGGGCAGAGCAGGCTGGAGAAATGGCTCAGAGGTTAAGAGCAATGACTGTTCTCCAGAGGTCCTGAGTTCAATTCCCAGCAACCATGTGATGGCTCACAGCCATCTATAATAAGATCTGATGCCCTCTTCTGTCATGCAAGCAAACTTACAGACAGAACACTGTATACATACATCATACATACATACATACATACATATATATATATATATATATATATATATATATATATAGGTGCAGAGCAATGGCTCAGCAGTTAAGAGCACTTGTTGCTCTTACAGAGGACCTGGGTTGGATTCCCAGCACCTGAAACCTCTTCTGGCCTCCATAGACACTGCATACGCATGGAGCGTAGTCTTACACACAGGCAAAATAAATCTTCTTTTTTGGTTTTTCGAGACAGGGTTTCTCTGTGGCTTTGGAGGCTGTCCTGGAACTAGCTCTTGTAGACCAGACTAGTCTCTAACTCAGAGAGATCCCCCTGCCTCTGCCTCCCAAGTGCACCACCACTGCCCGGCCCCTTTTTTTTTTTTTTTTTTTTTTTGAGACAAAAATCAGTTAATTTCTTGCTTTGGTGGTTATAAACAGCGGCCTCCAGGATTCAGGTGGCTATAAAGGCAGCAGTGGAGATCAGAACCACCAAGTCATGAATTGAACAGGGATTGATGAATTCCAGCCTGGCTCCACCCATGGCTGGAGCAGGATGAACATCTGCAGGTTACTGACAAAGAGAATGTCCACCTAGGAGCAGGGAGCATGCATACCCCACTCAGGCTTCCTCAGACCACCTTCCATGGCAGGTTCCAAATAGGACACACCACATGCCTCAAGCATGTGCTCAGCACAGAACAGATGGGGCATCTCAAAGGACACAGGGCCAACCTCACTGCAGAGTGCTTAAGTACAGAGCTAACTTTGGGTGTGAAATAATCACAAGTTGGCATTGGTGTGAACAAAGGGTTATTGGTGGGGGGGGGGGCAAGAGCTGCAGATCTCAGGTCCACCCCTCCACAGGCTCCGTGGTCAAGGCAGTATCACTTCCAAAGAAGGCTGAACAGTGTGCACAGGATAGAGTACAGACCAGGCAAGCAAGCTAAACACACCTTAATGCTGGTGACACCCTGAGGCAGGCACCTTTGATCCCCTAGAATGCTCCACACCTCAGAAAACATCTGACAAGCCTCTGAATAACCCTGATGAGCACCCCCTAAATCTCAAGATGGCCCAAAACTCAAAGAGCATGTGATAAAGTGGTCACCCAAACCACAAACCTGATGATGGGGGTAGCATCAGAGATAGATCAGCAACAAACCACTAACCAGAATGCAGCAGGGACAGCTGGGGACAACTGAGTGTAGGTGATGGCATCAAACACTTCCTTGTCACTTCAGAACAGTCTGAAAGATGAATTCTTTGAATAGCTAATAACTGAGAATGTTCCAGAACGGATAAAAAGACCATGATCCATAATGGGAAGAATCTTAACTTCCAAACAGGATTGAAAGAAACCTGGTGCTCAGCAGACACAGTAAACTGCAGAACACAGGAAATCTTACACAGCTGGGGGACAGGGGACTTCCTTTGTAGGAATGACACTAAAGCCACCAGAGGACTTCTGGCAACCTGGAGAGACTGCACAGAATTTAAAGAATTGAGATCACAAAGCATTTCACACAGACCCAAAATGGGTAATTCCATTTGGGACAGGAGTAGATGGACTTGAGGTGGACCTGAGACCTCTGCCATCCAGGACAAGGAGACAATTCATTCAGTCCCAGACATCCAAGTGCTGCTACCGTAGGAACTGTGGAGACCAGAAGCAGCTGTAGCCATGGATGCAGCAGCAGGAAAGATCTAGGAAGACCTGAGGGCGGAAGTCTGCCTCTGACTGAACTCCATGGCAAGTGTCCACAAGCCAGGTGTCCCTCTAAGACCCACCAGGATGTCATGCTGCCCACTGTTTCTGTGTAGAGTCCTGGCGCTGCCTCCTGAAAGGCCAGCTGTGCTCCAGAAGGGAGGAGGATGAGCCTCAGCAAGTGCTCGTAGTCCCCACCCCGTGCCAAATGATTTTCTACATGGAAATTAACCCAGCTATAAAGTTCGTAAGTGAAGTGTGCTCATCCTCTTGATCTGTAGCCACTACAGAGCTTGGCCTTTACACTTCCTTTCTATGTACAGATGACAGTTAGGATTGGTGTTGGTGGCCAAGCATGGTGGCACACACCTTTAATCCCAGCACTCAGGAGCAGAGGCAGGAGGATCTCAGTGTGTTTGAGGCCAGCCTGGTCTACATGGTGAGTTCCAGGACATCCAGGGCTATGTAAAAAGAGCCTGTCTCAAATAACAACAAACAAACAAAAGACATACCTGAGGATATGAATGTGGCTGCTCATAGAGTCACAGAACATACCCATGCATGGGTTGGGGCTTCTGCATCCCAGGTTGGCCTCAAATATAGCTGAGGATGACCTCAAACTTCTGGTCCCCCTAACTTCCAGTTTCCAAATGCTGAGAATCACAGGCACCTCCTGACTACTTTTCATCTCAGTCCATGTTTGGCTGTGCTGGTGCTGTCTTTACTTTCAGCTCCTGGGAGGCAGAAGCAGGGGGATCTCTGTGAGTTTG